GCTGGGGTGGCAACAGGGGTGGCAAGGCTCTCCTTAGGGGTGGCAACTGCCACCCCATGCCACCCCAGTAGATCCGCCCCTGACGACTGGCTACTACTTGCTACTTTTTCAGTTTTGAACTTCTTCCTGCAGTGAAACCCAGAGAAATAAGCCTTACCCTTGCTGTTTGGGTCTCTGATGAAGTACTGCCGCACGCTGAAGTATTTATCTTTGGCGTGGTACGAATAAGTGTTCTGACCATAGGTCTCCGTCCAAAAGACGTCAGCTTTCCCCTTAAACTTGATGTAGAAGGAGCTGATCTGGCAATCCTTGGCCGCTTCCACAGAAACTTGACCAGAAACAATGTCTCCGTTTGTAAAAGTATTGCTGGCATTGATGGAGTTATAAGTGATTTCTATCTTCTTTATTGTCGACGACATCCTGACAAGATTTACGCACCGAGCTCGACAGCAGATCAGGAAACCTGACACTAAAAGCAGGCGTCTCTCTCCACCTACAGTAGGAGGGCGCGTCTGTACAGCGAAGAGGATTGGTTTGATTTATGTGCGGCGCCGCCTCCTCCCATCACAGAAGCGATTGTCTAATCTTAAATGTTGTTTTATATTAATAAAAGCTGAGACTGTGGGGAAAGAATTAGATCCTGACCCCATCCTTACTAATCCTTACAACATACTAAAATGCTAAAATTCACAAAATGAGCAGCTGAGAGTTATGCAAACACTTTCTGATCTTATTATGGGAATAATTTCACTTTTTTTCGAGATTGCACACTTTCATTGTGTTTTACAGTAGGCGTATACAGATCTGCATATCTAATTGTATTTGGAAAAATAGCTTTTGAAATGACAAGAAAAATGTAAACATAATTCATGCTGACTGGAGTTGGTATTATCTGGCACTTATCAGTTCACAAAGCTTCATCACGTAAGGTTAAAAATGACAGAGCAGTAAACTAACCACATAATGCATCGCAGTTAACTAAAATCAGATGATCTAAGCCAACGTGTATTTAAGGAGAAAAAAAAAGGTCAGGGTAACATAATTCAACTTTTTACCTTTGACTGGACAAGTCCATATCATTAACATAATTTAAAGTAAGCTTCATTCTCCATTTTGAACAGTACTGTGAGGAAGCTGCATCTGCACAGCAGAAAAGTAAACATACAGATTCACCTTTCAGGGTTTAGTTATTTCTGTGTACTTCATGAAGAAGTCAACAGATCCCTGTTGGTCCAAAGCTTCTTTTGCATCTTACTGACTTTTCCTGAGGTCAGGGGTCTGCCATATATGAATAAAATTAGCCTTGAGCTGAAAAAAATAATTGTCATATATTTTATCAGTGGCAGTTTTTGATGTGGGCAATTTCCAGGGTGCAATTTATGGGACTCAAACTAGTAGAGTTACCTTTCACTGACATGCAAAACAAGTTTTGTGTCACTGATTTGCTCACCCAGCCAATGGAGAGTTGCTACCATCTGCTGTGTGTGTGTAGCACTGCAGAAACCAGACACCCCATGTGGTTAATGATGCAGAAGATTGTGTTTGATTTGCACCTTCTGACTTGGTACTAAGCTGAAAAATGATCTCTGCTTTAAGGAATCATTGATGCATTTTGTCATTTAAAATCTAATCTATCTGTCAAGAATCCTTTGGTTGTTTTTACTTTATCTACAGTGTTTACAAAAAAGCAATAACACCAGTCTGATAGACTTAAAGCTAAGTGTGAAAAGATTGTACAACAGAACAATTCGGTAACTTCTAAACTAATAGAATAATAAAGTCAACGATTTTATGTTCTAAGGTGAGCTGGAAAATAAAGATACAAACACCTTGCTAATAATTAAACCACATTACCTTCACAAATCATGCTAGAAATACTGCAAGACACACTAATGGACATGCATAAAGTGCATAAAACCAAAATTAATTTTGGTATACAACATCTTGCTTTGAGCGAGGAACATGACTGATGTTAAATTATGTCTAGTTGGTAAAGCATGTTTCGAAGCAAGCCCTTAGAAACACTTGAAACATTAAAGATAAATTAAGCGTCCCATAAAAATATTAAACATAAGAGATAATAAACTCAAGGGGGGGGGCGAGAAACTAATATGTCCATATGTGAGCTGCATGGGAAAACTGCAGAAATGAGTCCTGCTTTTTTCTACTTGATTTAAAGAAGCCAAAGTTTAAAAAAAAAATAAAAAATAGATGTTTAGTTCTCATCCTGAAAACACTGAGGGACAAAGTCTCCGATAAAGAAAGGGTCTACCTTACCAGCATCACTGAAATGTATTTTGTCCTTTGGACATTCAGTAGCTTATAGAGCAACAAGTTTTGAAATCTATCATTGAGCAAACAGGAAACCGATGCATGGACTTGGAGAGGCTTAAGGTATTTAACTGTTTCAGAGTCTATAGCACATTTGACTTTTCAGAACCTCTCACATTCATGCTGCAGCTCCCTCTTCTGGTAGTATAGGGCATTGCAGTATTTTAGATCTTTCAGGCTCAATACCCAAGACACAGCAGGGAAAAGAAGTATTGAACACATCAGTTTTTGTCTTGGTTAATACATTTTGCACTATGGACATAAAACTCATTAAGTTTTGGTAAAAACCACAGTAAACCACGCATTTAATTAAACCTATAGAAATGGAACACTAAAGGAAATGTGTAACAACGTTGAGTGACGACACCATAACTGTGTGTATTTGTGCTTTGGAAGAGATACAGTGAAGAATTTGCGCTTACCAGCTAACTAATATCTCTAATTTTATTCAAATAATTTCAATTTATAGCACCTATTGACAACACGTCATCTCAAAGCACTTCGTAAAAGTCATTGCAAGCCAATTATACATTCATCCCAGTTGGTCCTAGCTATTGGTTCAGTGTATTAATTGTCTGTAAATGAGATGGTAGCAAATGGCAAAATGGTATCTGCTAGAAGCTGTAAAAATGTTACCTGGATATAGGACAATTTAAATGGCAAAATTGTGTTAGGAGTTGCATCACTTGAAACATCTCCAAGATTGTATGATGTCAGTAGGGTATTTAAAGTGCATAGATTGATATCAACTTTCACAGACTGGAAGAAGTAGAAATCTAAATATGAGACTTTAATATATTTCAGAATATCATTGGGAGCTACTCTGACATGATATATCATCAAAAATATGTTGTGAAATATTTGTACTCTATACTGTAGGCATGAGCACATTTTAGTTAAACAAGTTGTAGTCCAGCTCAGAAAGAGTTAAGTCAGTATCTCAACCAATCAGAGCGCCCATTATTGTGTCACCTGATTCGAGGTGAACTTCTCTGGAGAAAATAAAAGCTTCAGCTCTGACAGAGGATGTGCTTTTAAAATCTAATTTTTCCCCTTTTACTGATATTAGCTAATTTCAGTGAAGTTTTTAACCAAAGTTTTGCTTCAGAAGCACAGTTTATGAAATATTTGCTCTGTAGTTCAAAATAACAACAACCATTTCAACAATGCACTGCTTTGTTAAAATTACATTGACTGAAATTCAAAACTGTCAAGGTTGGTTGTTAAATCTGTGTCATGGAAAAAGAATGAAACTTGGGAAGAAAAAAAACCTGTTGGAAAAAAAAAAAAAGCATGAGTAGAAACTGAATATTGGAGCCTGAATATCAGACTGCTGTGACAAACCTGACAACCACCTGAATGGAAAACAGGGAATAAAGAAAGTCTGCCATGTTTTCCAGTAAGGAGTAATGAATGTGTAATTGACAGTCATCTTGTCACATGATATGTTGGTGGTCAAATTTTCCATTTTAGTTGGTGTCACATGATGGACCTAATTTGTCAGTCAGGTGTGTTATTTATTATGGTCTATAAACTCATGATAAAGGCAGCAGAACAAGTTTCTGGAACTGATAACACAGTAAGAACCAGGCCCAACTCTATGAACGGTGTAAATAATTTCAGTGTAGATATACACTCTTGGTCTTGGTCAGCTTAAAATTGTCATTTGGTTTTTCTGTATATTTGAATAAAATTATTTCAGTTCATTTCCTGAATCATTTGAAATACAGATGAACTCTCAAATAAAAGCA